ATCTGGCTTCCGTCGGGGATTTGCGGCTCCCCGGCTGTGACCCCAAACATTGAGTTTGTCATTAGTAAAGGACACTTCAGGGTGTGGCATCAGTAGCGTGAATGCATCCTTTTCTGTGTGTTATTCCAAAAAATAAAATAATATCAGAATAGCGTGGAGTAAACGAACAAAAAGTTGGCCATTCCCAAACTGACTGCTTTTGTTTTCCCCCTTTCTGTTTCTATATTTTGCGTTAAACCCATGGCTATTTTGATGCCGAATATCACTCCGTGTTTCTAGTCATACTTTGTAACGATTCCGATCTGGAAAGCCTAATCCGATCAATCTGTGCAAATTTCCTGTATGGGATTATCATACCCTCCGTTTTACTACACTACTTTCCATTCGTCACTCGTCTTGACAAACAACGTACACCGTGGCAACCTATTTGGTGAGATGCCCGGCACATGCCCTAATCAACGTTAACTATGGAGGTCGACAAATTGCTTCTATGGGTGCCCGCGTTTCTCTACAACTCTGTGCTGTAATTCCACATTGCTTCTCCGGTTTACTCACTAGACTCATGCAATGCTGAGTGGACCACGGTGTTCGAACACCGACAGTCTATCTGCATTCTGTTTTTATTGACCAGATTTGTGCGCTGTCTAACTGAACTGCTTCAGCATGAACTCGATCCGCTACAGACAGCCGTTTGTCGCGACGGCGGACACTACTATGCGCCCAACGGCCAATGCAATAATAAACTCTTCAAAGGATATTGCTGGTGGTAAAAGAAAACCAAACCGTATATCGATACCGAACATAATATCATTTATTGATGAACTGTAAAATCAGAGTGAAAGTGTGTTAAACCAACGGGTGTCAACATTCCGATAATTGGTGGGGAATGAGCAGTGTGACCATCGATATTTAGGAAAGAACCATTTAAATTCTCTGGTTAAGTGGTTCATATAGAATTGATAATAAATGCGCTTCGGTTTTTTTTTGCTCGTATCTCTGAATGATAATTTCAGTTAATTTTTCATCAATCCAAAATAAGTGGGCCAATTGATATCTTAGTTTGCTCTGAAACGGAAACAACTTCACTCATGTTATGTTTGACCTGCTTCCACATTCAACGATGTGTGATGTGAGGACCGTAAGTTAATTAACTGATCCAGCGAGGAGTTTGTTGGTTGTAAAAACCGGTTTTTGTTTATGTTCCTGCAATTGGAAAACCAATCAGATGTTTTCTATTTGTACTCTTTCCGTTTGTGTAGGCACGCTTTGGGGAGTTATCGGATCATTTGTACAAATATATTTTTCTTCCATGGTTACGAAAAGTCCCTTGCACTGATGGCTCCAACAACGACAAGTCTTGGCCAACACTGGAGGTGAGTTTATGCCGCACTCTTGTATCTGCCATTCATTTTCAGGTTTTCCGATTCCGTTGTAGTTTCATAATGTTCTCCTTCAACTATAAATAACAACCCACTTCAGTGCTTGCGTTTATATCACACATCTAGAGTTATATTTGTCTCATCTGTAGTCCGTTAGAATGCGTTTGCTCCTATCCAAAGGAGCTGAAACTAAGCCGACATTGGACAGCTGTTTCGTCTTGTTTGGGACTCGTCAGGAGTACGTACTTTTGTATCCCTGTCAGGACTCGAACTGCGAAGAGTCATGTCGGGACTTCAAACCCTTACCCCTGAGCTGCACGGTTGACGGTCATCACCTTGCGCGAATAGCTCAATCAATCTCACGGTCTCTCGAGGAGTAAAACCCACATCGAAGACTATCCAGAGTGCCTGGTGCCTCTGAACAATCGAATGGGCTAATCCAAGCTTGATACTCTAAGCCGACATTGTTTGTGGTGAAAACAATCACTAGATAGGCAGGAAGAGATCACCCATGTGTACAATGTTTTTCTGTGTATCGCTCCCTACACCGTCGACCANCGTCGACCATAGTTCACTCGCGGCTTTCGCTTTAAGTAACAATTAGTGAACCGGGATTGTGATCGTACTTTAGTGTCCTCTCAAGGTAATTGATTTTGTACATATGTGATGGTCACGAACATCTAATTGACCATTCTCATAAGTGGATCACTCTATGATTACCCTGGAGTTTATGATAATAGAAATAATTCCTTTTGGGGCTGTTCCGTGCATTTTATTGCAGCTAGAATTATTATATTTTTGTTTATGAACCCATTTTTTAGAATAGCATATCATAGTTCATGCGAAAATGTTTCCCTTCCTTAATAGGAAAATTTAATGTGTGTAATATCATGTGTACTGTACTGTAGGGACACTTGAAAGCATCTCAGTTGTTGTTTACATACCTCACAAAACAAGAGGTATTTATATATATGCTCTATTTTCTGTCGTTGTTTGTAATTTTTTGTTTTCATCTAGTTTGTAGCTAATCGCTCATACTTTGCTTTCGCTAATCATTTCGGGACTCTAAAGACCTGCATGTTTCAGCTATCTGTTACGTACTGTTGATGTTTCTACTGCTATTCAATTTCCGAAACAATTTGATGAATCTTATTATGTTTTAGACTCGTTTAATTGAAGCCGATTCTGCCGCTGGATTGTTGAGTGGACGGGCTGACGGTCATTGTGTGAGCAAATCACCAGCCAATCTACTTCCCGTTTGGCAGCTGGAACTGCTTGCTCCTGCCACTGTGATAGATGAAGAAGAGCAGTTGGTCTTAGACTCTTGTCGCCAGCTGGTCGCAGTGTTCCAGCAGCTATCTACTCACTTATTTGGGCTTTCTGTGGGTGAGAGTAATGATGACGACTTCAACAATCAAGACGAAAAGGAGAACACACAAGACAACGGACAATCACGTAGTCTAGGCAGGACAACTCGTGTGATTGACGTAGTCATGAATTCGGATGACGTTGCCGATTTTTTTGACAATTCTCTCATAATTTCCCTGATAGACGGACGATTTGCTGCTGGCTTACCCTCCGCACGTATATGTAACAGTGCCGCGTTTCTCGTCCCGGTTACACAAGCAGTATATCGTCTTGCTGTGGAAGGTCAGTCTACCGGATTCCTCACCGGGCATTCCTTAGAAGGTCGACAAGTCGGTAAATCATTACCAGATATTGCTGCTGGCGGTGGAGCAAGTCTTCTATTACATTGGTTGAATAGTTTGTCGGGTGTCACGCAACAGACTCGTTCGAATGAAATTATTGACCAAGTCAGAAAAATGCTGTCGGATGTGGAACAATTTAGGAATACCCGTGTGGTGGGTGATAAGTCGTGTTCAAAACCAGACACACAAACGGAACAACTACAGGGTGATTCTGAAGATATTTCAAATCTAGATGAAGAGGAATTTCAAGTTTATCGGAGGCAAGCGGCGGTTAAGTCAGATACGGGCAATCAAAAGTATTTCACTCCATCTCTCACTGAATTGTTGGAATCAAAAGCAGCGCGTGAGAACCTTGTTCGTTTTCTGGATTTGGGTCATTTCCACTTTCCAATGAGTCGAGTGAGTACTGGTTAAAAACTTTGTTCTTTTCCCATTGTTGAAATGTGCATTTTGGTCGTTTTATTTCTTTTGAAAGTTTGGCTGAGTGACACCATCGTTTCCATAATTGCAAGCTACTTTTCTTTCTTCGTTCTCTGTGGAACCCTAGCAATTGTCGCAGGGTTTACTCAATCATCCTGTGTCTGACCTTGGTATGCACTACTGGGTGTGTAGCTTCTATGGAAAATCTAACTTTCGCCAGCGACCGATATAAGTCTACACATTATAGTTGTTTTTGGAATTATGTTGCAAGTTGCTAACTTGCAGCTAATTTAATCTGATTTTACCATCAGATCCACCCTGTTTGCCACCTCTTTATCTCTTGTGGTGATCTCCAGCTGGTCGCTTCTCTCCTCTCAAAGTTCTTCTTATATATTCAGTATATGATACTAATGGTAAACGTGCACAATCTCAACAGCCTACTGTGAGTTTCCGAAAGCTGATAAACTGATGGAGTCTAGCTTGAGGCCGCGATTTCTAATAGAGTGTTCAAGCATTTCAACGGTGGCGTTTTCCGTTACTAGAGAGGGATATGGCCAATAACGTTTCTGCTTACATTGTGTTGCAACCCGTACAGTAATTTTTCATTTTTACTTTTATTGAATATACAACGATAAAATTTTTGGGAAGGGAGAAGTGGCTGCCATACAACACGCAATGCGGAAAGTCGTTCGATGGTGGTGGGATTCGAACCGACGTCCTCAAAGGCAACGTTACAACCGGACCACTGCCATCACTAATTAATGAATTATTCCCATAGGCATTCATTATAATCGTAATCTGACACAGAACTTTCACAAGAAACAAATCCAGAATACTAGACGGGAAGCAATCGGACAGTTATAGGCGGCTGAATCAAAAAAGTGGTAGCGCCATTTTCATCCTCTTTTGATGTGCTAGTATGGTCCCACTTGGACCCGCTTGGACCGACTTCTCTCTTCTATCTGTCCATCTATCTATCTATCTATCTATCTATCTATCATCTATCTATCATCTATCTATCTATCTATCTATCTACACTACTTGTCGGATAACAAAGTGCAAAAACTGCGCGTCGCATCGCCTGCGGATTGCAGCAGTAGCACGTACAGACAATACAACAATTCATTTTAATCCGTGTCAAATAGGTTTTAGAACGTTATATGTGGTCCATAACCAACCTAATGAATATGTGCGACGATCTAATAATTTGTCTGACCTGACCTCTATGTCTGAAATGCAACCCGCGTACGAATTATCGTGTGATGCTTTCGAATTCGTTGGCAGAATACGAAATGGGCCAACGCATTCCTTGATAGCGTCATGTATCTTAGTGCAGTCGTGAAAGATAAAGGGACGGCGCACGACAGTGGACGGTTTGAAAAGTGCTTTGGATGTATCTCTGGGTTTTGTTATTATCACATGATATGTCGAATCACAAAACGCTGAGGTAGACGTAAGCAATATGTTCGAATTCAAGGCCTTACACATGATGTGCTTTCTTTTATACGGATTCGATTATACTTGAATTGATAGAAACCAAACGAATTTTAATCGCCTGGGGTCAGATGAATGATCAACTACTGGCATCTTCAGTATTGCATATTCCCTCCTGAAAGACTAATTCAAGTATATCAATGCGAACAGAATCTGTTTATCCATCAAAATCCTACGAGAAGGACGCATTAGCGATATACCGGATGTTTCCTTTCAACAGTGAGATAAGTCTAAGTATTTCACTGAACAGTCCCTAACCAGTAGAATGTTGTCTTTTTCGCATTCCATTTAGGCGCATGGCGCTTAAATCTCACCCTTATGGTATATACGTAATCCGTGAACCAGCAAATGCAACATGGAAACGGATCCTAATGACGGTAGATTATCTGATCAAAAGTATTAGGATAGTAATTTGCTGTTGCTGTTGGTGTGTTCTCCGAGCTGGAAATGTTCGCAGACGTTTCTTAGCGTACCGCATGCTATACGAATTTATGATCAACGTAAATCCAGTTGCGAAAAATCTACAGATTATAAAACTGTTTCAACCCCACCGTAGTCATCCCACACCGAGACAGCCCGTTGCATCATCTTATGTGCGTCAATTCTCGCATAGCTCAAACTTCCGTATTTTTGATTTTCCTCACATCTATGTAATAATTATTCAAGTATGCTAATGCCATTTCCGAACTCAACAATGTGGTGCAGTGATTGCCGTTTCTCAGGCGATTATGAAGTGCAATTATTTGGTATACACATTTGTGTGCTAAACAGTAGACGGATCGAACACCATAGTCACGAAGACCTGCTATTCAGTGATAGAAACCGATAATCTAAGCCCTGGGACTTGGAGTAGTGAACTACATAAGACCCCACTAGGAATGGAGGCACATAGTGATAAACATTGCCAGGTTTTTATTTATTTGGGAATTGTATGGTATGTGAGTGGGACAGAAGACGTACAGAAGGATGAATGTTCCACAGCTTGGTTTTCTGATGAAAATAAAGGGATAAAAGCCAACCCGGTGGGGCACTTGATATGGTTTACTGACTGCTCGGATGCTGGCGTTGTAGCTGTATGTCAGAGTGCTGGATGCAGATGAAGCAAAGTATTGTGGATAAACACCCTATGCTTGGCTAATGTCTGTTAGTTGAACGTTAAGAGGGAGTCATCGATAAGGCAAATTACCTTGCGGTAAGTGATTTCCAGCAGGAAGAGAGAAGGAGAAAGAATAAAGCTTGGAGCACCACGCGGTTGCTGCGTTAAGTGTTTCCTGATTCGTTAACGGACCTTCCGGTCATGCCGGTTTTCCACGGTTCCTGCTGTAATCTGAAAACATAGCGTTTGGAACTATCAGAACATCCGTTAGAAAGTAAAGCTACATCTGGAACCAATGATATCTCTACATCGTTCTGTAGGCAATGTTAATAGAAACAGACCATGAATTGAACCGAACTGAAATGGGTCGTTGTCGGCGGAACGAATCCCATTCGTTCAAGCGCGAGATCCTGAATTCGGTAGGCGGTGGTTCTTCCGGTTGAATGCTTTAGAGAAGTCCACATGAATCACCTCTACTCGTCGTAGAGACAGCAATCTTCAAATTCATGATTGCACCTGCTAATGTAACGGGGCACTTACCAGTTTTTCTCAGAATCCACTTGATGTTTTTTGGTGAGGTAATCTTGTTGATGGTATAAAACAATTCAGTGTAAATTCTGCGGACCGTCGCTGCAAAAAGTGCGACGGTATTTTCGATATCCGTATTTTGAGGGCAGTTACCAAACAGAAGAATCCCGCGGTATTATTTAATGGCGTTCGATCAGAATTAATGAGTTCCTCCGTGCGTTTTATCACAATTTTCCTTCACTACTGTCATCTACCGTAAACCGCTGGCAATATTGGTTGGGCATTTTCAAACAGATCTTGATAAGTACTGAATGGGTAGCTGGAGAAAAGCTGTGCGACTTAGAGTACGCTGATGACATCGTATACCTATTCGAATCTATAGGGAATGCGCAATGCGCTCTTGACAGACCAGCAAATTCTGTAACTCCTTTCGGCATGCACTCTACACCTTCAAAGTGCAAAGTGATGCTACAAGACTGGGTGTCGTCTACCCCAGCGCTGATGCTTGGTGTTCAAGAATTAGCTGTAGTGAAATGTTTCACCTACTTAGGTAGCTGCGTTTCAAATCATGGTAGCATAGTCAATAAAGTAACCGCCCGCATTTTAAAGGCTTGAGCAGCTTACGCAGGATTGAACCCATTTTGGTGCCGACGCGATTTTTCGCTGAAACTGAAAGGTCGCGTATACTGCGCCAGTGTGCTAGCGAATAAGCAACTCTTAAGTAAGGCGTCGCTTATTTGGTAATGATTCGATGAGGAATTCGTTGTCCCATCGAATTCAGATTAGTCGGCTTCGCTGGTTAGAACACGTATTGCGTCAGCCGCACCGCGCCTTATTCGCAGTTGCGGCTCCAGGTTGGAAGAAACCGCGTGGAGGTCAATAGATGACATGGAAGCGAGGTATGAGGAAATACACAGAGCGATTAGGTAGAATCGGTGCCTCCAGGTTGGGGTCCGAAGGACTCTGTAACTGGCTGGCTGGAGACATTGAACGATATAGCGACTAACCGACCGCAGTGGCGTTCTTGTTATCATTTCTTAACAAGTCAGGATGCTTGAAAAGGTATGTATGCACACTTAGATTATGTACTCTGTTTGTTGACCATAGAGGTTCTTTTTTTGCCTCCCTCCAAGTAGGCCCAATCCCTCTCCATTTTATGCTTTATCACTTGATTTGTGTAAATTGTGAGCTTGGCAGCGATCTGTGAAGTTAGCTTCACTGTATCTCACTGTACGATGATGATGATGATGACGATGATATCTTATTCAGTCGTCGGCGTATTCCGCGATTTACGATTATCTTGATGTTTTTTATGCATTTTTATAGGTTTCCCAAACAGTCATATCGCTCCTCGAACAAATTAACGCTGTGAGTGCTGAAACAGAGTCACTTCTGAAAGAAAAAGTGCACACAGCTTCACAGGTGTCCGCCGGAGACACAGCTTCAGCAGCTGGATTACAATTGGTACAAACGAGTTCATTAGCTTTGATCGAGGCCCTGGTCGAATTGGTCCCGCATTTGATCCTCCTTTACACCTCCCTTATCCCAGTGTTTCACTCTTCGCTTTTGGATTCTGACTTATATTTGGCTGGTAAGTACATTGCTGGTTCACATTTGGCTGCTGTTTTCTGTTGAATAATAAGATTTACCCAACGCCGTTCTTTTCATTCTGATTTCACTGTCTTGACGTTAACAAATACAAAACACATCACAAATTGAACCCAGTGGTTTTTTGCGCAAACATCAGTGTGTGGTTTTAATGACCCTTGTCGTATCATTTGGATTGAAAAAACGTGTACTGGCATCAGTTCTGCTGCTACATTTCAACGTAAACGACCGTTTGGTCGTGAGCATCAGACTGTGACTGAAAGTTGAACTTCGTTCTCTCGGATTCTTTGTTTGTGTTCTTTATAACTCACGAAGTAGTAATTCCATTTTTGACATGTTATGCACCAACATTGAAATCACCATGCAATCAGACCCGCAAATACCCTATCGTCATTCTCAGAAAAATTTCGATACAGGTTACTCAGCCGACCCCCTCCCCATATTCGGTTGTTCCCAGCCCTCCGCCAGACATTATCCGTTTGGAATCAGAAAAATTGCAATCTAAATTTCCTCCTACTCTTTGCAGTATTCGTTACTCATATTTTATCGATCTTTATTGTGTCATGTTTGCACGATAAAATATGTATTCTAGTAATTCCCGTTTTCTGCTTGTTCCTATATTGATTCTTTCGTGATAATTTGAATGGTGGCTATCTTTTCCTTTTTCTTATTGAATGCACAAATATACAATTTTCAGGAAGGGGAAAGCGGCAAATCAAAGGGCTGCCATTCAACACACAATTGGTAAAGTCAGGCGCTGGTGCGGGCATTCGAACACACATCCCCGGGGTGATAAGTTGACGTTACCACCGGGTCACTACCACCATTTGTGCTAATTTAGCTTTTACGTTTCCCTTCACCCGTGTCAGATCATGTACTTTGTTGACTAGGCTCATCACTTAGTTGAATTTTTTCTTCGGGTGCGATCGATGTTCCTTGAAAAAAACTGTCTAATCGTTTATTCTTCATTTTTGTCCTCTTTACTATTCCTTGTTTTATTTAGCTATATATCACAACAGTTGTCTGTTTCTCGCGCACGAATGCTTGACATTGGGCGAACTTCGTCTGTTCCCTCTGTTGAAACAGTTGACCGAAATGGAGCGTCACATACCGGATAAGAACAAAGAACTGGATCCAGAACAGGAAACCGATTCGGAGGAAGACGAATTGGCTTTGCTTAGACGCACTGTCTCTTGTAGCACGTTTGTGCTAGTTCCACAACTACGTGCCAGCGGTACTGAGATACTGCTGACTCACTTACGTCGTCATCGAGCGTCCTTGAGCGATCACCTAAAACGAACGAAAGGTCTGAAGGTAGGTTCTATTTATGTCCTGGATTCTGTGACCCCCTTTTTATACACGGCTCATCATGTGATCGCCGCCAACTGTTATCGTAGTTAAAATGGATTTGGTCAGACCAATGAAAGACCCTATTTTCCAACAATCGCGTAGATCACTTTTCACGTTACTGTGAATATATCATGATCGTCGTTACTTGTGGAAAGGTTTCAGATTCTACAAACAATAATGATGCTATTTCATGCGGCGGTTTTGGTTACTGTCTTTTAGTTGCGCATTTGGATAAAAGAGCAGAATGAAGATTGGATTGCTGAGAGCAATCTCAAGGGGAAGATAGAGAGTTCACATAGACTGATTGCAAGAATATTGAGTAGATGTACGAGAGCCACGGTTTGAGACACTCAACCATATCACTCAGCGTCTCTAACCGACGGTTACTATGATCTCGGGTCCCCATCCAGGGAGCCTAACGGTACCTATGTGGAAGGGTGAAACTAAACCCATGCAGCCAGTATATTGAATATGTACTCTGATTTGAACAAAGCACCTGTTTACATAGCCTAGTGTGCTCAGACTGAACAAGAATCTCACCATTGTCACTTCTCTATAATATCATCGTGTCTTTAACCAACTGGTTGCTTGGTGGTTGGGACCCTAGACCAGAAGGTGACGGATAGTCGTTCTCTCTCACTTCTGTTTGCAGTTGATTTTATTCTATTCCTGCATGCATCGATGTGCTCCTCATGATTTTTTAAATCTTTGATCCGTGGTGGACCGGTTGAGCCTTACGTGTCATCACCAACGTAGTTCACTCCTGTGAATTCAAGTTTGAATTTTTATCATGAGAAAAACTTACGAAGAATTCGCTTATCAATCACATACGATGTTTACACATTGGGTTCGGAACACGATTCACAAGATCACAGTTAGTAGTAGTAGTGTAACGTTTATGATGAGCACAGGAGAATATATTATGTAATTTGGTGTTGAAACATGATGTTTGCCAGAACATCACCAAGCTGATGCTTGAAAGATACTAATGCTCGGGCAAAGACTACGTGAGGTGGTTCAGTTCCATGTGCTGCACACTGACCGCAAACGAATGGCGTCTACAATCGAGACGGCTCTCTTGGAGTGCCAACTTCAGTGGATGCCCTCGGAGATAAACATTGGTTGATAGAACCAAAAGAGTTCTAGATGGGTGGTCGGGCTGTTGGAAAAAATCCGATAAATTAAGGTCATATTACCTCGAATTTAATGATATTGAGACGAGTATAGCCCCAATAGCTGTAATCTTTCGCTAATAGGTCTTAGAATGTAGACCTTTGACCATCTTGGTATCCATTCTCTGCGGATGTTCAAGCGCCTTCGGATCTCGCTGCGGCCGTTGTTTTCAGGCCTGAATTGAGTACTTAGCGTATGGACGTATATATGTGGCTAACAGACGTGGAAACAAAATCGGCTCAATCGATCCAAAAACACGTTTAAACTATCCAACCTGTTTTTCCGCGATGGATGATGCCCTGAAACAGTTTTTGAAGCAACTCAAGTCGGTGCGAATGACCACTCCCAGACCTTTGTCGCATGGAGCATGAGGCAGATTTTTGTATCTGAGAGTGTAGGAAAAACGACCATTGTGACGTAAGGATAAGATTTTGCATTTAGTAACGTTAAATTCCATGTAATTAGAGACAGACCATCAGGGAGCTTCGGCAAAGGTATTCTGAAAATCAAATGAATTTTCTGGTTTTCTTATTATCCTCCATATTTTGGCATCGTCTGCATACAGCGGAGTTTGTAGTCCGAAGGAGACTGACGCGTCGGTAGTTGACTAGGTCACTACAGCATCCACCTTTGTAAATTGGTGAAATACGACCGTTTTTCCACAACTGAGGAAGCACAGTTTAGAACTGTGAACTTCCCGAGAAACCACTCGAATGGTCGATGAATTAGTAATCTAACTCGGTTCCGTTATTATTTTTGTACCATTCCTTTGTAGAAATTAAACTGTGAAAACTACCGTTATCCGGTTTCTTCCACATGCAAAACTTAGTTTCATATCATTGAAGCAATACTCACTGCACTTTGACACAGAAAACGCACGCTGGTAAACGTGATAAAACCCTAATTAGAAACACAGTGGTCAGTGTGATGTATGTGCGATTAACCAGTCTATTATGGTATCGTCACTTGTCACACACTGTTATATGGGTAAAAGAAGCAATGAGTGACAACCATTTTTATCATCCAGTTGATATTATGCAGCTCTCTACATTCAATCTTACAGCGTCGATTCACTTTTCGAAAGTGCGAAGTTTATACTGGAAGGAGACGGTCAGAGATTGTCGTTTTTGTGACTTCAATTATCCATGTGCTCCATATATTTGAACCGACAACTTAACAAACTGAAATTTATATCGCTTGCTTCCAATCTTCTTATCTCGTGTCTGTATTTCGAAAACCACGTGGAACATTCTACACTTTTTAGTTTCTAACCAAATTGAACACTGAAACACGTGTATTATAAGGAAGCGTTGAGAATTATTGTACAATTATGTGTGTGTTGTATAGTGAACAGTGCATGCAGTTTCCTCGCACGATGTAAAACACAATGCCTTATACAATACAGCACGCATTAGCTTGATTGAAGCAACAATGGTTGGTTGCACTAGACGACCCGCGTCTCTCAGTAACAATTTGCGAACAAGGTCGAATCGCTGTGATATGCGTAGGAATATGCTTCGCAATTTTGGCGTTTAACACTTGACATTTTTCGCTTGTTATCGTCTCGGTAACCCCTAGTAAACGCTTAAAAGTAGTGATGACCGCTATTAGTAGACCAACTGCCTTCATTCGTAGGATTGGGTAAACTTCGGGGAAAGAGATCTGTTGTTTGGTTTGATTCCTGTACCTTCATTCGCATGTTCACTTTTCTCACTAGTGAATCATTTAGACAATTTTGGATATCTAATATTTTACAGGCTATGTAAGATAATTTTCTTTACTTTACGGGAGCAGCTGTGCGAGTATCGGTCAGTCGGAGGTGTATTGTTGCATTACAATGGCGTATCCGTTTTCACGTATTCATCTCCTTTAGACGGTTAGAAAACAGCAAGGAAATCATATCAGCAGCATAGCAGTGTAAATTGCATCATTTTTCTACGAATCGCGTCTATCAGTTCTCTTGATGATACAAAATCGCTCGATTATATGAGTTTGATTGAATACAGCCTTCATTTTCATTGACCGTTAGTAGATTGAATCTCAGTGAAAATCTGATAGTGTTAGTGTATTTTCCGGTAATTGGCGCGGTTAGATAACAACTGTTGCGGTATATGAAATAACTGGCCCAGTTTTTCAGAAATAAATGATAAGTGCAAGTTGTATCGTGAAACTTCAATAAAAGAACCATTGGTTACAGTACTGTAGCGTGTTTATGGTTTCCTAACATAAAGCCGAAGAGCGGAGACTGTCCGAGACAAATGGCCCATCGGTTTAGAGCTCAGAAAATGGCAACGCACGACGCCAACACTCGACCGTGCACACGGGATTGACACAGAATCAGCACGTATGTTATGGCAGACACCATAAAATAATTGTTACAGATATGCACAGAATGATGACAGATGGCTGTCGGTATATTCGTTGGAACAGTTATAAACGATTATTTCCCGCGTGTATTCTCATTTTATGCTGTTCTGTCTAGTTTTCTTTCATACCAACACAGCCCTGGTTTCTAAGTGAAATTGACAAAGAGAGGAGAATACAAAGGTCCGTTGGAATAGCACGAAGAAACGGGACATCACGGGTGTACTTGAACGCAGAAATAGTACCTTTTTCTTTGCGAACACGCTTATGCGTCATTCACCTAACAGCCGGAAAACGAAAAAGGCAGCTCTGAGGCTCGGCGTTGACTTTTAGGTAACCGCGGTCGTCCACTGGAGCGAGTGGTTGATCGTGAGACAGCAACCAAAACGGCCGCACAAAAGTGCTTGGGTAATGGTTGTAAAAACTGAAACTGAACCTAACATCTCTTTCAGAACACTAAATCAAATGAAACCTTATGATATTTTGTCTCAACCTCATTTACGTATCTTGGTTTCCAACTTCGGATTTTGATAATCCGTATGCTTAACTATTTTTCTTTTAGGATGTCGGACTTCCAGAGAATCGTCAGAGATGCAAAGAGGCAATGGATGCGTGCCAAACTATTTTAATGTCGGTGGCTGAGGGATTAAGTCCTCTACCGCTTACAACATTCTCCCGTTGTATAGGTGAGTCTTTGATGCTTATCACAGTCTTATTTATAATTTCAGCTCGTCATCCACTATTAACATACTAATCACACTAACGTGAGCATAAGTTTTTTTCTGATGTGTGTACTATCTCTTCGTAATTGTACATCCTTTTAACTTTTGGTCACCATTCAGTCTAACTGACATTCAAATATGTTCAATCGACGGCTTTTCCCTCACATACCTTAGGATTTTCCGAACAATCTGGGTTCGCAGTAGAGTGGTGATCTGGTCCTGAATTCGACCCCTATCCCCAATGCCCGGTTTCATCAGTTCTGTTTTCCCAAGGAGCCGCAATCTCTTCATGAATGTTGACTACACAATTGTATATTCAATGAATGGAAAGGCATTTAAACAGTACTATTATTACCATTATCATTATTGATATTATTCGCTGTCTGTGATGTTTTAGTTGTTGTATCTGGTGCAAACCGACACGTTCGTTGTATGTTCTGTATTTTTAGGGGTTCATTTACTCGAATTGTTGTCCACCAATAATTTGGCCTTTCCATGCTTATGCCATTGGGTTGTGACAGTCATTCTAACTCAACTCGAATCTGTACGTAGCAGTGCCGACTAATCCGATTCCGTTGGTTATGCCTTTGTGTGTACGTGTGTGTTTGCGTGAAAACCTGAGATAGAGAAAGCGTTAGAGGTCATTCGTCCATGATTGTTTTCGTGTCCGATCGCACTTGTCTAATGTCGCGAACGTTTGACGCACGTGTCGCCTACGTGTATCCTTTAAATCAAGCATGTGCACCTGTGTAGCCTATTTCGAATCACTCACCTCACAGACAACACTGCACGAAGTTATCCTTGACCAGTTTATGATCTTCCGAATCGGACCACTTTGTTGACTTTACTCCGCATACTGTTTGTGGATAATGATATACTTCGTTCATGATGAGTTTACACTTAACCGTAGTGTCCCCATAACGACACGAGATACACGTGATGGCTTCTCCCGACCGTATGCCCATCCATGTCTGAAACATCGATGGTTAGTTGTCAGACAAAGCTGGGTCTCTCAGGACCCACTGCTTAGGTACCTCTTGGTTTCCCTTAACTAATCTCTCTCTCCTGGAAAGGTCACTCCGGTAAATGAACATATTGATAAGCATTTCACCCTTCAAAGATCCCATAAGCTGAACTTAGATCCTGGGTATCTGGGGCCTCCTACCAACGATGAAAAAGTCTTCACACTTTCTGCTTTAACAGCTGTCTCTCACTAGCCATTAAGCTGTTGCCCTGTCTCATGGTGTGCATGGGGCTAAGAGCCAATTCCGAACCGGTCATCGATGTCTATGTGGTAGGCGGCTCTGCCGTCGCCCGGCTCACTACCACGCCTGATTTATTGAAGCCTTATGTGGTCCGCCATTCCAAGTTTCAGGATCATGGTTGCCGGTTTCCTCACAACATAAACATGAATATATAAAATCACAAACATTCACGTACGCTCGCTCGCTCTATGCACTCAAACTGTAAACACGCACTCATCACCCTCACCAACATTCGCGGACTGAACCGCAATATTGATTCTGTACACCACTTTCTCCATTCTTCTTCTCCGCTCGCCCTTTTTTGACCGAAACAAAAATCTCCCCCTCGTTAGACACCACCCACCTTCAATTATCCAACTACACTCTCCATTCCTCCTTTCTACCTAAAGCTGGTATCTGCGCCTTTATTTACCAATCAGTGGCCGCCTCCAGGATCCCAAAGCTGGACTTCTCCAATCGTGAATTTCAGCTGATGTA